CCAGAAGATGCCAGTAAGTCAGGGAAAACAAGGACACTTCGGGGTGGAAAGACTGCGGCCGGCCCATTATTTTCATTAGACTGGTGGTTTCACAGATATAATAAATACACACTTCAGAATTAATTAAAGTATATGTATATACTCTTGGCTTTTTGAAACAAGAGTCTCACTATGTAGCCCTGGCTGTCCTGGGACTCGCTATGCAGACCAGACTGGCCTCAGACTCATAGAAGTCTGCCTGCTTCTGCCTCAAGAGCGCTGGGATTAAAAATGTGTACCATCACTTCTGGCCATAAAGCATATTTGTTAAATATGTGCAGATACTCTATTTATTTGAGAGATAGGACTTCACATAGCCCATGCTGGCCTCCAACTTGACATGTAGCAGCTGAAGGTGACCTTAAACTCCTGATCCTCCTGCCTCTACCCTCCCCAGTGCTGGGTTTACAGGTATGTGCCACTGTACCCACTCTATGCAGTGCTGAGGACCAAACACAGGATTTGGTGAATGCTAGGCAAGCCCTTTACCAACTATCTGAGTTAGGGTTTCTATTGCTGTGAAGAGACACCATGACCACGGCAAACTCCTATAAAGAAAACATTTCATTGAGGTGGCAGCTTACAGTTTCAGAGGTTTAGTCCATTATCATCATGAAGAGGAGCATGGCAGTATGCAGGTAGACATGGTGCTAGAGAAAGAGCTGCTACATGTTGATATGCAGGCAACAGGAAGTAGACTGAGAGTCCTACATCTTGGAGGCAACGGGAAGTGGTCTGTCTCACTGACCATGGCTTCAGCATGTTTGAGACCTCAACGCCCGCCTCCACAGTGACAGACTTCCTCCAACAAGACCACACCTACTCCAACAAGACTGCACCTCCTAATAGTGCCACTCCCTTTGAGGGTCATTTTCTTTCAAATAACCACACCAACCGAGCCATGTTCCCAGTCTCCCCACACCATCACTATCCCCGTCCTTCCTTTTCATGCTTTGGACTTGAAGAAACTGGGTTGGTTGTACCTCTACAATACCCTAATTTCTGGATTAGTCTGTTGCTCTCCCATGATAACATTTATCCTTTTATCCTCTGTATTCCTGCAAATGAAAGTTGGACTTGAAGCCTGATTATGTTCCCATTCAAGTTTTGGGGTCTTTGTTTTTTTGAGACAGGGTTTCACTGTGTAACTCTGTAGACCAGGCTGGCTCGAACTCACAGGGATTGATTCACCTGCCTCTGCCTGGGATGATAGGCGTACACCACCACCACCCAGCTAAAATGCTGAGTTTTTAAAGATTTATTTATTTCTATTTGATATGCATGGAGTTTTGCTTGCAGGTGTGCAGTACTCACGAAGATCAGAAGGATGGTAGACCCTAGGAACTCGTGTTACAGATGGTTGTGATCTGCCAGCTGGGTGCTGGGAACTGAACCCAGGACCTCTGCACAAGCAGTGAGTCCTCTTAACCACTGAGCCAACTCTCCTCCCCAAATGCTGAGTTTTGTTTTGTTTTGTTTTAAGATTTGTTTCATAACCGGATGGTGGTGGCACATGCCTTTAATCTCAGACAGGGTGATCTCTGTGAGTTTGATGCCAGTCTGCTCTACAGAGCTAGTTCCAGGACAGCCAGGACTACACAGAAAAAAAACTTGTCTAAGAAAAAAATTAGTTTTATTTTGTATGCGTGGGTGTTTTTTCCTCCTTGCATGTGCATTCCCGGGAACTGGAATTATGATGGTTGTGAGCCACCATGTGGGTGCTGGGAATCGAACTTGGGTCCTCTGAAAGAACTGCCAGTGGTCTTCACTGCTAAGCCATCTCTCCAGCCTCCAAAAGCTAAGTTTGTTAATTGCCTTCTTCCTTTTTCCTTTATTAACAGGACTTCTTCTCCTCCTCCTCCTCCTTCTCTTTCTTCTTTTTTCGAGACAGGGTTTCTCTGTGTAGCTTTGTGCCTTTCCTGGAACTCACTCTGTAGCCCAAGTGGGACTCAAACTCACAGAGATCTGCCTGCCTCTGCCTTCCAAGCACTGGGATTAAAGGCATCTGCCACCACCACCCGGCAACAGGACATCTTCTATAAAGAACTTTTAGTTCCTCATCCTCACAAAAGGGAATTTTTCATCATCAAAAAGATATTTAATTATCCTGAAATGCAATTCAAAGAAGAAAAACAAAGTACTGGGAGAGTGTCTGAAACATTCAGACTGAGCAACCCACTTCTTTTTTTCTTCCTCCTTCCCCACCCCTCCTTCTTTCCTGGTGTATGTAGTCCAGCCTGACCTCCGACTCATTATACACATAGCTCAGGAGGATCTTCTCTTCCTGCTTCTCCTGCCTCTACCTCCCAGTGCTGTTGTTATAGACATGAGGCACCAGGCCCAGATCAGCCTTTTGGAAACCATATGTGCATTGAAATGGCACACTATTCATGACTCTCCTTGATGAAAAAAAGCAGGTTACCAAACAGTAAATACAATTATATTTTAGATGCATTAGAAGTAGAATGGTGGGGGGCTGGAGAGATGCTCAGTGGTTAAGAGCACTGACTGCTCTTCCAGAGGACCTGAGTTTAATTCCCAGCACCCAAATGGCAGCTCATAACTGTCTGTAACTCCAGTTCCAGGGGATGTGACACCTTCATACCAGTGCACATAAAATAAAGTTTAAAAAAAAGTAGAATGGCAGGAAAAAAAAGAAAGAAAAGAAAAAAGAAAGAAAAGCCAGGCAGTGATGGCACACACCTCCAATCGCAGCACTCAGGAGGCAAAGACAGATCTCTGTGAGCTGGAGGCCAGCCTGGTCTAAGACAGCCAAGGCCACACAGAGAAACCCTATCTTAAAAAAAAAATTCGAGGACTGGAGAGATTGACTCAGATGTTAAGAGCACTTATTGTTCTTGGAGAGGACCCAGGTTAGGTTCCCAGCACCCATATGGCAGTTCACAATCATCTATAACTTCAGTTCTAGAGGTCCAATGCCTTCTTCTGGTCTCCTTGGAATCCAGGCATGCATGTGGTACACAGATACACATGCAGACAAAACACCCATATACATAAAATAAACAAGTAAAATTTAAAAGAATAATATGCTGCCAGCTGGGCAAGGTGGCACACACCTTTAGTCACAGCACTGGGGAGGCAGAAGCAGGCAGATCTCTGAGTATGAGGCCAGCCTAGTCTACACAGGGAGTTCCAGGACAACCAGGGCTACATAGTGAGACCCTGTCAAATGCCCCCCCACTCCAAAATTCAAACACTAAAATGTCATTTGTACACTTTAGATATTTTCTATATGAGTTTCAATATTAGTTTCTATATTAGTTAAGTTTATTCCATGTTTCAGCTTATTATGAAAATGCTCATGACGTGGTGGTAGCACATGCCTTTAATCCCAGCATTTAGGAAGCAGAGGCAGGCAGATCTCTGTGGGTTTGAGTCCAGACTGGTCTACAGAGCTAGTTCCAGGACTCCCAAGGCTACACAAAGAAGCCCAGTCTTGAAAAAAAGAAGTCACGACACAAAACAAAAAAGAATTGTCTTCTTGGGGCTAGAGAAATGTGGAGAGATGGCTCAACAGTTAAGAGCACTGGCTACTTACTCTTGCAGGGACCCTAGTTTGATTTCCAGCATTCACACTGAGGGTAACAACTGCCCATAACTCCAGTCCTATGGGTTCCAACGCCCTATTTAGCCTCCTTGGGCATTGCACCCAGGTGATGCCCAGGCATACATGCAGGCAAACACCCATGTGTGTGCCCATGTCCGAAAGCACACACAGTTGGGGTTTTTTTTGTTGTTGTTGTTTGTTTGTTTACTCTTTGCTCTTTGGGGGCCTGCCACCTAGCTCCCAAATAAATACACAGAGACTTATTCTTACTTATGAATGCCTGACCTTAGCTTGGCTTGTTTCTAGCTAGCTTTTCTTAAATTAACCCATCTCTCTTCTCCTGTTTTGCCTCTGGGATTTTTACCTTTCTTTATATTATATATCTTTCTTTACTTATTTCTCTGTGGCTGGCTGTGTGGCTGGCCCCTGGCGTCCTCCCCTTCTTCTCCTTTTCTCTACCCTTTCTCTCTCTCTTGTTCTCTAGTGTAGATTTCTTTTCCTATTCATTCTTTCTGCCAGCCCCACCTATCCTTTCTCCTGCCTAGCTATTGGCATATGTGTGCCTGGCTTATTTTAGAGTCAAATACTATATATATTTTTTCTTTTTGTGTGTGTTTTTTCAAGACAAGGATTCACTTTGTAGCTCTGGCTGTCCTGGAACTCACTCTGTAGACCAGCCAACCTTGAACTCACAGAGATCCACCTGTCTCTGCCTCCCAAGTGCTGGGATTAAAATCGTGTGCCACTATGATAGGCTTTAATATTTTTCTTCTAGTGAAAGACATGGAATACAGGAAAAAAAAATAAAGACAATAGTACTATGGAGAAAATTATTTTTCTTTCTTTCTTTCTTTCTTTCTTTGGAGCCTGTCCTGGAACTCGCTCTGTAGACCAGGCTGGCGTCAAATTTACAGAGATCCGCCTGCCTCTGCCTCCCCAGTGCTGGGATTAAAGGCGTGCGCCACCACCGCCCGGCAAAAATTATTTTTCTTAATCTTTAATATGTATGTTTCACACTATGTATATTCTGGTTTGGTCAGGTACGGTGTGGGACTTGATGTGAAGAAGAAGGAGATTCTGAGACTTGGTGGCAGTGCCATTAATCCCAGCACTGGGAGGGCAGAGGCAGGAGTATCTCTTTGTTGTGTTTTGGGCCAGCCTTGTCTCCATAGCCAGTACAAGGCATTGAGGGCTACATAGTGTGCCATGGTCTCAACAAAGAAAGAAGACTAGATAGACCGCAGGCCATCCATCAGGCAGGTTCCCCGTCCGCCACCGCTCACCCCAGAGCCAGGTCCTGCAGGGCTTTCCGGGGCTTAGAGGAGCCTCTCTGCCCAGCCTCCCCCGCCCCGGGCCAGGGGTTGGAGAGCGGGCCCTCCTCCCTAGGCAGGGTCACGGTTTCACCTTCTCTCGCTGCCGTTCCAGTCCCCCACCCCACCCCCGCGCGGCGCCTCTCCTCGGGAGCCATGGTGTCGGTCCCCGGAACCCCAAGGCCCGGCGGGGACCGCGGGGAGCCAGCTTCCTCCGAGGGTCGGGAGGAGCTGGGCAGCCCGCGGCTCCCGTCCTCCGCGTCCTTCTCGCGGTGGCTGGCCGCGAGCCCGGGGGCGGGCGGCTCGCCGCTGCGCCTGGTGGGGTGGGGCGGGATGGCGGCTTCCGCGTGGCTGGAGGCCGGCCTGGCCCGGGTGCTCTTCTACCCGACGCTGCTCTACACCGTGTTCCGCGGGAGGGTGCGCGGCCCAGCACACCGCGACTGGTACCACCGCATCGACCACACGGTGCTGCTGGGCGCGCTGCCGCTGCGGAGCATGACGCGCCGGGTGAGAGAGGCCGCCGGGCCGGGCCGGGCCGGGAGCGGGCCCCGGGCCTCGGCGAGCGCCCCACGGCCCTCGCTGAGCCCCCTCTTTGCTTCGGCAGCTGGTACTGGACGAGAACGTGCGCGGGGTGATCACCATGAACGAAGAGTACGAGACTCGATTCCTGTGTAACACCGCGAAGGTGAGGAGCCGGGTGGGGGCCCGGCCCCGCCAGCCTGCCCGGGGGGGGGCTCGGGCTGGTGAGAGCTGGGGGAAGCTAGGGCGAGGTGGGACGCGGCGGGTGACTGTGTCTCCCAGACGAGTGAGTGGCAGAAGACGCCGAGTTGCCTTCTCAAGCATTGAGTATGCGCAGCAAGTTAAATGGCTGCAGGTGGAAAGCCGCCGAAGTTGATCAAAGCAGAAGGAAGTCGTGCGGGTCTGGAGCTCGGGCGACTCAGGTGGCTTGAGGCAGGATCAGAAGTGGCCTGGGCACTGTCTGAAAAAGAGAGCGAGCTAACCCGGTGTGGGTGTCTCACTCCTGGACTTCCATCTCGAGTAGGCAAGGCAAGAGGAGGATCGTTGGAAGTTCCAGTCCAAGATGGTCTATGTTTTTGTTTTGTTTTGTTTTGTTTAATTTCCCGGAGCTGAGGATTGAACCCAGGGCCTTGTGCTTGCTAGGCAAGCACTCTACCACTGAGCTAAATCCCCAACCCCTGGGATGCAGTTCTTTATGTGCACATATATGTTACTTTTTTTGTTGTTGTTTATTTTGAGACAGGGTCTTAAGTCGATGATGAACTTGATCTGATTATCCTGCCTCCATTTCTCAAGTACTGAGATTACAGGCATGTTCTAATACACCCATCTTGTGTTTGTGATTTTGGTCACTAACCTCAGTAATTAAAATTGTGATTTGTATGCCTTGCCGATTTCATTCATGCTCATTCAACACTTACTTTAGCACCAAGTATGAATTAGGCAATGTATTAGCTTTGGAGATGAAGGCCAACTCTAAGAAAAAACGCCTTTTTAAGAGGTCCAGCCTAGTCTATGGAGCGAGTTGTTCCAGGGCATCCAGGGCTACACAGAGAAACCCTGTCTCAAATAAATGAATGAATGAATGAATGAATGAATGAATGAAAAAAAAGAAGGGATGTGGCTCAGCACTCTGTGTGTGCAGGTGGGAGGATCAGGAACTTGAGGCCAGCCTGGGCTACATGAGCCTATGGTTAAACACAAAATCACACAGATTTAAAAAAGAAAAAAGCACACTCCCTCTCTGACCAGGCATAGTGGCACACTTTTAATCCCAGCACTTGGAGGGCAGAGGCTGGTGGGTCCCTGAGTTCAGGGCCAGCCTGGTGAGTTACAGGACAGCCAAGGCTATGCAGAGAAACCCTGTCTTATTATATATACTATGTCAATATATATACATTCCTTATTATATATTCTGTGTCAATAAGTTATCATTGAAAAACTGCAGAACAGACTGGGGAACGTATTTCAGTTGATAAAATGCTTGCCTAGTGTATGTGAAGCCCAGTGTGGAACAGAAAACAGGTGTGGTAGTGGTGCAGAGCCCATAATCCCAGCACCGGAGATAGAAGCAGGAGGGTCAGAGATTCAAGTTCACCTGGGTCACATATGAGTTCGAGACTTATGTAGGCTATATGAGGCCCTTTCCGAGAAAAGAAAAAGAAAAGGGGGAGGGGGGAGACACACAAAAGAGCGTGTCACTGTTCCTTGAATTTCCCCGGGTGCTGTCACCAGGTCTCAAGGGGTCACTAGCTATCAGAGTTGGTATTCACTAATGTAGTCAGTTGTATAAATGCAGGGGTGACTGAAGCTATACAGACAATGCCTGGTCTCTGAATGTGAGGCACTGGCATTTGTAAGACGGAGCTTGTCAGCCCACTAGCCTAGAGGTAAGAAATCTTTGCCAAGGCATGGCTGCATTTCAGTGTGTCTAAGGATCCTCTGGCAGCCTTGCTACATAGCAAGTTCTCACCTCCAGCCCCAGATAGTCTGACTCAGGACTCTTGAGTACTAACAACTCTGGAAGTGGTTCTGGTTCGGTTGCTGTACAAGCAGAAATGTGCTTTCGGGTTTTGTTCATTTGATCGGTGGGATTAGAGTGGCCTTCATGCACTCATTAAGTTGCAAGGACTTGCTAAGAGTAGCAAGGAGCTCGACATGGGGGTGCACACCTGTAATTTTGGCATCTGGGAAGTGGAGGCAGGAGCATCAGCTCTTAGGCATCCTTGGCTACATAGTGAGAATTGAAAGCCAACCACCACCACCAAAGAAGTTAGTAAGAGTAGCTAGAGTGTACTTGAAGTCTTAAAGCAAAAATACAATTGTCTTAATGTGGCAAAGGCTTTATTTCATTTCTCTAGTTACTTCTTAAATAACACACAAAGGCAGGTAGATATTTTGTTTTGTTTTGTTTTATAGGGTGAAGGGAGTTTTATTCTGTAGCTTAGGATAGATAGCCTTGAACTCCACTCACAGTGTATCCTGCTCCAGCCATCCTAGAGTTGGGATTTTGGGCATGAGCCCCACACTCCTGTGTGGTTTTAACTATCAGATAACCCCATTTCTTTTACTATGTACCCCTCAAAAATGGTAAAAAGATTTATGTATTTACAGCAAACTATACTATCCTTGTCTACAGCTGGATCACAGTATAGGTCCCAAATAAGGCAAAAACACAGCTTTGCAACATTAAGTGGTACTGGAAGTCTCTCAGGGCTTCATTTACCAGGCACTCCACCACTGAACTACATCCTCAGCCCCATAACTTCTGAAGCTGAATTTTTTAAATGCATTTTTGTTGTTCTGATGTTTTGTTTGTTTTGTTTTGAGACACTGTCTCACTATGTAGCTGTGGCTGGTCTGGAACTTGGAACTCTTTATGTAGACTCAAATTCATAGATATCCTCGAGCGTTTGCCTCCCAAGTGCTGGAGTTAGTGTTTGCCACTACCCCTGACTAAAGATTCTTCAATTATGTGTCTGTGTGGGCAGGTGCTTACAGATGGCTGTAAGCCTCCCAGTGTGGGTGATGGAAAGTGGGTTCAGGGTCCTCTTAGTCACTGAGCTCTCTCTCCAGACCCACAGCTGAACTTTATGGAGCTAATATTTTGTAACTGAGGTTTAAAGCATCTAGAGAATATTTGAACGTAACTCAAATAGCAGCATGTCTGCTTAATGGAAGGTCAGCTATTCATTTTGTTTTTTTGTTTGTTTGTTTTTCAAAACAGTGTTTCTCTGTATAGCCCTGGCTGTCCTGGAACTCACTCTGTAGCCCAGGCTGGGCTCAAATTCAGAGATCCGCCTGCCTCTGCCTCCCGAGTGCTGAGATTAAGGCGGGCACCACTACTGCCTGCCAAAAGTTGGCTGTTTCCAAGGCATTTCTGGTCTAGGAAAGAGTCACATTATAATAACCCCTGGAACTTGCTTGCTGTTCCTTGGGGACCCCCTGTTCAAACCATTCACCTCACACTTGTCTGATTTCCCTTTTTGTGCGGTGGACCTGGCTCTAGGAATGGAAGAAAGCGGGCGTCGAGCAGCTCCGTCTCAGCACAGTTGACATGACGGGGGTCCCCACCTTGGCCAACCTCCACAGAGGAGTCCAGTTTGCTCTCAAGTACCAGTCACTGGGCCATTGTGTCTACGTGCATTGTAAGGCTGGGCGATCCAGAAGTGCCACGATGGTAGCAGCATATCTGATTCAGGTAGGAGAAGTGTCCCTGGAGTCGCCTTCCCTGTCGGAGATTTCCAATAGCATGGCTTCCTGGCAGGCCTGCCTGGAGAGAACTAGTGTCCGTTCCCGGGCTGACAGAAGGTAGTGTGCCATCGTGCCGAACAGCCAAGCCTTGTGCACAGGCCAGCCCGTACTAATCAGGATAGATCAACATGGATTCTCCTTTCTGATGTTGTTTCCTTAGCTTAAATGTGACAGGAAACTTAAAGGAGAAGGTTTGTCAAAGTGCTTGCCTACAGCAGGCCTAAAAAAAAAAAAAAGAGTTTTGAAGAGTGTTCAACCCAGCAGAAGACTAGAAAGTTACTTTTTGTTTGAGATTGTGTGAGATAGTGTCTTGTTATGAGCCCTGACTGGCTGGGAATTCACTATGGAGACTGGACTGGTGCCCTGTGTAAACAAGGCTGGCAGCAATCCTCCTGCTTCTCCCTCCTGAGTGCCAGGGTTACAGACATGCACCAGCATACCTGCTTTAAAGACTTGCCAAACGCTTGCTTTAAATGGCATGGTAGGGGCTAGCTCAAACACTTGCTTTAAATGGCATGGTAGGGGCTAGCTCAAACGCTTGCTTTAAATGGCATGGTAGGGGCTAGCTCAAACACTTGCTTTAAGTGGCATGGTAGGGGCTAGCTCAGTTGGTAGAGTGCTTGCCTAGTGTGCATGAGGCCCTGGGTTTGATCCTAGCACTGCATAAAACTGAGTGTGGTGACGCCCAGCACTTGGGAGATGGAGGCAGGAGGATGGAGCTGAATGACATCCTCAGCTACAGGGCTGTATATGGCATTTCCTAGTAAAGCTCTGACTATTAGTTTTTGTTACTTAATGTTTATCTAGTGTGTGCACAACTGGGGATATTGCTAGTATAGAGTGCCTGCCCATGTGTGAGGTCCTGACTTTATTCCCTGATACTAGGGGAAAAAAGAATTACTGACTGGCAAGCATGATGCTTTAAAAATATTTAGATGGGCTGGAGAGATGGCTCTGAGGTTAAGAACACTGGCCGTTCTTCCAGAGGTTCTGAGTTCAATTCCCAGCAACCACATGGTGGCTCACAACCATCTATAATGAGATCTGGTGCCCTCTCCTTGTATTCAGGCAGAGCACTGTATGCACAGTAAATAAATAAACCTTTTTTTTTTTTTAAGTAAATGTTTATTTCCCAGCATTTATTTACTGTCCTTTAGGCTCCATTCCCATAACAAAGAAGAGAGCTTTGACCACCCTCCCCCCCCAAAAAAAAAAACAAAACAAAACTTAGAAGCAGACGCTTTATAGTCCTTTATCATTCCCCGCAGTCTTTCCCTTTCCAGCTGACTCATTTTTGCTTAGTCCGGTTCTTGCACAGTATTTCCAGTCAAGTGGGTAGTTTAAGGAAATAATGACCAATATAGCCCTGTTAATGTGGACTATATGGGATTGAACTACACCTTTCATTATAGCCATAGCTTTCATTATACAGATTCTGGGGGAAGCTGGGTGTGGCTGTGCACTGTGTAAGTGGAGGCAGAGGATCTCTGCAAGTCTGAGGCCACACTGCTCTGTGAGCATGAGTTCCGGGTCAACTAGACAGTGTGAGACTGTCTCCAAAAAGACCATAAAGGAAAAACAAAAAACCAAAAAACTTGCTGGAAGTCATCTCAGGAGGGTATTTGGGTCCAAATGAGAACTGACCCAGCAAGCTAGAACTGTTTTAATCCTGTTGAGTTCTAAATCAGTGTGCATCCTTAAAACACAAAGGTAACCCTCCTAAATTTAAAAAAAAGTACTATTTTTTCTAGCTATGGTGGTGAATTCAGAAAAACACTTACCATGTGCTTTTAGAAATTAATTTTTGTGTGTCTTGTGTCAGAGTCTCGTGTAGTCTAGGCCGGCCTCAACGTCTATTATGCCAGTGAGGATGTCCTTGAACTTGTGATCCCCCTGCCTCCCCTCCCAGGCACCCAGTGTGTATGGTCCTGGGCTTGGATCGTGTTTCTTTCAGGCCTGGTAAGCACTTCACCACTGTGCCACACCCCCAGCCTACTTCCAGAAACTCTTATTAAAATCCCACTCAAAAAGGACAGACTAGACCTAAGGAATCTGGGGTCTCAGCTTCATGAGTTACTTTGTTTCACCGTGTAGCAGAGTAAGAATGAACGGGTTGTAGAACTGGTTGACTGAAGTAGTTCAGAGTGCTCTCATGGAACATGTCCTTGTTTTTCACAAGGTAGCTGCTGTTGCTCTGGCTGGTCTCAAACTCTAGCACTCCTGTGCTCATGTGACCTTCCAGCATACCACATCCAGCAAAGGAACATTTTTTTTTTCTTTTCCTTTTTTTTTGTCCTGGGCATTGAACCTCGGCGATTTAAGCATGTTAAACAAATGCTCTATCACTGAGCTATTGAGCTATATCCCTGGCTGTCTTTTTACTAAAACATGGTTTCACTAAGTCACCTGGGCTGACTTAGCACTCTAACTCAGACAAGCTTTGAACTTGTGGTCCTCCTGCCTTAACCTCCTGAGTAACTGGGCTTATAGGCCTGCACTTCTCAGCCTAGCTGGAGCATGCTTTTCAAAGCCCTCTATTACACATTATTTACTTTATTTACATGTGCAGCTGTGTGTGGGCATGCCTACACCATGGCACTCATGTGGAGGTCAGAGGACAGCTCGCAGGAGTTAGTTCTCACTTGAGCATGTGAATTCCTGGGACCCAACTCTGGTTATGGTTGTCAGGCCTGGCAGCAAGTACCTTACCCAGTGAGCAACCTTGCCAGCCTGTTTCTTCCTTCCTTCCTTCCTTCCTTCCTTCCTTCCTTCCTTCCTTCCTTCCTTCCTTCCTTCCTTCCTCCCTCCCTCCCTCCCT